GGTACTTCTTGCGGTCCTTCTGCGTCTGCGGGTTGATCTTGTCCTCGTCCTCGAACAGCTTGCGCTGCTGGATGAGCGTCGCGTTGTTGCCGTTGGCGTCGTAGGCCTGCTCCTCCTCGAGCATGCCGTCGCCCGCGGCAGCAGCGGCGGCGGCCAACGCGTGCTCGTCGCCGCGCACGAGGTATCGCGTTTGCTGGGCGGTCGACTTGTCGTCGTCGTCGTCATCGTCGTCCTGGCCCATGTCCTCCATCTCGGTGCCCAGGTGCCGCATGAGATTAGTGTCGACAGTCGACGAAAAGACGCTGGTGCCCATCGACATGAAGCGCCCGCTGTCCGTGTCCGCCAGACCAGAGAGCACTGCAGATACGAGAAACATCGTTAATGTGTGTCGTGCGTGTCGTGCGTGTGTCGTGCGTGTCGTGCGTGTCGTGTTTACCTGAAGAATCCTCGTTGACGAAGATATTGTCGAGCTTGATCTCCTCCGAAAACTGAGAGACGACCTGCGCCGACACGTGGATGCCCTTCCTCTCCTTCGGGGGCTCCGTGTAGAACGCGATCTTGCCCGAATTCCAGTCCTGCAGCACCGTGCGCGCCGCGGCCTCGTACTCGGGCACGCCACCCTGCATGCCACCCGGCGACATCACTCAGCAAGTGACTCCCACGCAGCCAAACAACGCCACCACGGCGTCGTGGTGGTCGTGGTGGTGGTCGTGGTGGTCGTGGTCGTGACAGCAGGGTAGTAGTACCTTGCCGAGCTTGCCGCGCTTGTGGGCGATGTGGCACAGGAACTCCCGCGTGTCGTGGTAGATCGGGATCTTGTACAGCTCCATCAGCTTCTCCCTCCGGCATCGACTGAGGATCAGGTCGACTGGCGTGACCACGAAAAGCGTAAGAAGAAGAAGAAGAAGAAGAAGAAGAAGAAGAAGANAGAGAAGAGAAGAAGAAGAAGAAGAAGAAGAAGAAGAAGAAGAATACGACGAGAAATGAAAGTGTGAGAGAGCGGCGTACCGGGCTTGACGGTGTCGGTGATCTGCTCGACCTTGATGCAGTTGCGGAGCACGAGGTCGGACTCGGACGAGCTCTCGGAGAAGACGATACCGGGGCAATCCAGCAGCTTGACGTGCTTGTCGATGTGCACCTCCTGCATGGCGCGCGTGTAGCCGGGGGTGGCGCCCACGCCCACGGCGCGCTCTCGCTTCAAGCTGTTGATCAAACTGCTCTTGCCGACGTTCGGGTAGCCTATGGTACAATCATTCACGGCCATATAAATATATTTATATACAAACATATATATAAATATGTAAATACTTACACAACTTTCAATATTGTGAGAAATTGAGAAATTGAAAGTGCTGCACGTACCGATGATGCCGACGGTGATGGAGGTCTTCATGTTGAGCGAGCGCGAGTAGTTCTTGAGGAGCTGGATGAGCGCGTCGGCTCCGAGACACTCGCTGGTCTCCATGTTGGAGGTGGAGGACGCGGACTGGAGGGACACGGTCAACTGGGCGATCTTGCCCTTCTTCGTGGGTCGAGCACTTGAAGGCCAG